CTTGGCTTTCATTTTACAAGATTACTTGTATTTCTGTCTCATTTGCAGTAGGTGATATCTGTCAGAAAGCAATTTTCACCCAATTTGGGGTTCTTAATATTTTCTCTTTAAGCTCCTTTGTTGTTGATTTTTCCTCCCCCCACCCCTTGACGAGCATTTTGCAAGCAACCCATGGACAAGCTTCCTTTTATTTCCCCCCTTTTAAACAAACAAACAAACAAACGAATAAATAAATAAATAAAGAGCATCCCTGGCCCTTTTTACACAGCTCGATAATTTATGAGTTAAGTGTGACAGCACAGGAATTTTTCAATGCAGGAGGCAATGTCCTGACTGGTGTGTGCTCCACTTCACCCTCAAGAAAAAGAGAGCAGTGCTCACTTTTGTTTGGCCTGACAGCCTGAAAGTTCAGAGGCGGTAGCCCTCATGCCTCCAGAAATGTGCCAAAAAAGCAGTGTTTTAAAGGCCAGCTGGAAGGCCTAGGCTCAGGTCCTGATTCAGCCTTTGAAGGCTTAACCTCAGCATTTTTTTCAAGTAAAGATGAATGAAAAGCAAGTTGTTAGGTTTTGGGGTTTGGGGTTTTTTGGGGGGAGAGATTTCTGCAGGAATTGTTGGGAAATTAAAACAACAAATAATATTGGTCCACTAGCAAGATTCTACTTCATGCTAAAAAGAAGTATGTGGTAGATTTTTTTAAAGTTAAAAATGAAGCAAAATGGGGAAAAGTATGCGATGATGTGTTTGGACCTAAAAGGCATCCAGATAAAATTCCAACTATTTGGGATTTCAGCCCTTCCAGATTCCCTGTGTGAAAGGCTCCTCTCCTTTCCTTGCTTTCCTGTTTTCCCCTGCTTGCCCTGCAGCCCTCCCTGCTGCTTTTGGATACCCCAGGTCGATTTGTCCCTAAGTTTTATTTGCAAAGCGCGGTTGTTCTTGCTGGAAGCTGCAGGAAGGTGGGCAGAGGGGCAGCCCCCTCCCAGCCCTGACTCCTGTGCTGAGCCCACCACACATTTCTGCAGGTGACAGCCCTGCAAACGCCCTGGGAGGTGCAGGGACTTCAAAACCCAGGTGGAAGCAAAAGCAAACAAATAAAATTTGGGAAATGGAGCTGAAATCAAAAGCACATCTCTCGTCTCTCTTTGCTTAAGCTGTTTAGAGGAGCTCTGTGTGCAGAGGAATTACTTTGAGGTAACTCAGACACCTTTCTTTTCTCCATGGGTGTCTCTGAAGGCAAAACTAATTCACTTCTGCTCCGCCAGGTCTGCCCTCTATTGTTCCCCACTAATGTAATTTTTTTTTTTGTCTTCAGAAACATTCCTGCTTGTGTAATCATCTCCAGCACAGGGAGCAAAGAGAGGAAATTAAGATGTTATTGAGGGTTTGAGAGATATCTCATGTTTCAGAATGGATCAGAGGCTCAGAGGCCTTTTTTTTTTTCCTTTTTTCTTTAAGGTGCCTGTTTTGGGGAGATTAAGTAAATATGGTGTATGGTTTGCTGGGGTGAAGCAGGGCTGCTCTTCAGGAAGCTGTGATGCTTCTCTCTTCTCCTGCACTAAAAGCAATAAATATAGCAATATTTATCTCCATATGTCCTTAATTCCAAGTGTGCGTCCCTCTAAGCAGGAAATCTCTTGGGGGAAGAGTTTCACCTCTCCAATCCCAAGAAGTTTTTACCAAACAGCTCCAGTCTCCCTGTGGAAGAGAGGACTAGACTATATCAGAAAAATCAGACAAGATTTTTTTTTGGTGACATGAAGCAAAACTGAAGCTGACAAATAATTTCTGAGTATTTTATTTTGTCTTCAGCAAGGCTGAGCTGGAGGGAGCTGAGCTGCTTCCACCAGGTGAGTGATTTATCTTGTTACAGGAGAGTTCATTTTTTAACTAAAGAATGAGACTGTGCACATGAAAATCCATCAGCAAAGGTTTTTCCAGGGTAACACAGTGTATTTCAGTTTTCCTCATGTTTCCCTGGGCAGCTGTGAGGACCTGCATGGAGATTTTAAGGTGGCTTTGAAACTGCTTTGTGTTTCTCTGCTTCTTCTCGTGGTGTCATTGGAGAGATGGTCTCCTGTCCCCAGCAGCCACACTGGCCATGGCCACCAAACCCAAGATGACATTGGGCTTAACTCACAGAACCTTTGTGATGCTCATGACCCGCTCATTGACTCCATAAGAGAAAAATAATTAGAAAATTAGCGTAAGTATTGCATGTTCTCAGACCAAACTGCTTGCAGCTGCCTTCGAAATAAGGGGGGGTGTAAAGTTTACTGCACAAAAATGATGGATAAAAAGTCAGCCTGGGAATCACAGGTGCCTCAGCTGGGCTTGCTGATGGTCCCCATCATCTCCATCATCCCCATCATCCCCATCATCCCCATCATCTCCATCATCCCCATCATCCCCATCATCCCCATCACCCTCATCATCCCCAACATCTCCATCATCTCCATCACTTCCATCATCCCCATCTTCTCCATCATCCCCATCTTCTCCATCATCCCCATCACCCTCATCATCCCCATCATCCCCATCTTCTCCATCATCCCCATCATCCTCATCATCCTCATCATCCCCATCATCCTCATAATCTCCATCATCCCCATCGCCCCATCATCCCCTTCATCCCCATCATCCCCATCTTCTCCATCATCCCCATCACCCTCATCTTCCCCATCTTCCCCATCATCCCCATCGCCCCATCATCTCCATCACCCCCATCATCCCCCATCCTCATCTGGAGGTGCTGCTGGCAGAGACTGGAGGGTCAGCATTGAAGAATTTGCTGAGCTAAATTATCCAGAAAGGGACTGCAAAGCATGGAGACACCAGGTAAAACTTAAGCAAGAGCCCCAGGTGATATACAGACAAAAGCTGCAGGAATTTAAGCCACTTAGGCGTTATTAACAGCTGGGTTTGTCTGACATGTGCCTTGCAGCAGGTTAAAATAAAACCCCAGTGCGGTCCCTGCTGGACTTGCAGCTCCTCAAAACAGAGGCAGCCCCAGTGTATAATAGGATCTTCACTGCTGTTCTGGGGCTTGAATAACATTATGGTGACTTTGCATAGATTTTTTTGCCCTTAATGCAAATAGAGGAATGATTTTCTAATCAGGTAAGATTAGGCTGAAACATGATAGCTAGAGTTTGGTTTATTAATGAAATACAAAGAAGTAGCCTGTACCTTTGTAAACTATTCTTAAAAATAATGCAATGTTAAAAAAAAAAAATTGGTTTCTTTGGCTAGCAGTCATGTGAGAGAGCCTTGATGCAAATCTTTGTAATGAGTGCATTCCGATGAGCGTTTGAAAAATATATATGTATTTATTTGCATTGATATGTTTATATGGCTTTACATATCAACTTAGTCAGGAAAAATTGAATAAAATGTCTCAGGTCTGGGAAATGAGAAGAGATTATGAAAAGCAGATTTAATATAGCACCGTTTTTTGATGTTTGTGGCACATTTCATCATATTGCCAGAGACACCCAATTACACAGCTTGCAGAGTAATCAGCAAATGGGGAATCCAAAGGAGAATATTAACTCTGGTCTTTTTTTTCCCCTTCCTCCTCCTCCTTCTTTAGCAAATATTATGTTATGCCTTATGGAAATGGATCAAAATGCCACATGTGCAGTTAATACTGAGCTCTGGAGCTCTTTCAAATCTTATTTTTCCCCTCACATTGTATTTTTCTGGAACAAACCTCCTGATAACTTTAGGACATGGTCTTCAAGGCCAAAGCACCACCTTAAACTTCCTGCAAGTTTGGGTTTCAGTTTTACCCGGTGGCTGACTTTACCTCATCAGCCTTGTGTGAGGGAAAATTTGAGTTATTAATTGAAGATAACCATGTTTAAGGACGTGATCATAGCTCATCCATTTATTTCCCTCTTTGTGAAGGCAGGAATTTACTGAGCAGTTTGATGTCCTTGATGGTCACAGACACTCCTCACCCACATGGTTTTTAATATTCAAAGCAGACCTGTAACTGCAGTGGAAAAGGAGATCTAATGATTAATATTTCCCTTATTGTGGATTTAAAAAAAACCCAGCAATGGCTGCAGTGTAGGGCAGTTGTGGCTGGCTGATATTTTGGGTGCATGTGATCAAACAGTCTTCAAAGGCACTGATGGAACTGGGTCAAAACTATTAGCACTAAAATTTTTGCAGTGTCTGCCCACATTCCCACTGTTCTGGTTCTCTGCCTGGCTTAAGAAAAAGCCACTTTTCTTGAGAATGTCTAAAAACTTGTTAATCGCTGTTACAAATGCACTTGCATTTCCTTCCAGATTACTTTCCCCCTTCTATGTGTTTCCCTTTACATTATTTCTACAGTTGAGAAAATAAATTGGGAAATCATATTAATGGGGGATGACATTCTGAAATGGAATAATCTGATTTTTTTAAAGAGCTTGATTATCAGATGACTTCAGGAAAATATTGATAAATTCAGAATTTTTTTTATCTGCTTCACCAGGCAACAAATTGTGCCTATACCCAAGGTGAAAATCCCATTAAATAATTACCAACTTCCTGCCCAAGAAGTAGTTTCACCTTTCAGGTCCAAACTAACCCTGAAGGAACAGGAGGTGGAGGAACGAGTTTGCAGAAGCTTTTCTGCCATCTCCTGGAGCACAGCTCCCCATGGCTAGGTGTAGAAAAGGGGACAGGTCCTCACCAAAAGAACAGAAACATCCTCAAAATCACACAGAAAGCCCAATTGTTTGAGAGTGGCCCCATTTATTGTGCACCACTGCCTTTAGAGATGTGCTGTCTGGTCTTCCCTATCTTCACCTCAGCAGGCAGGAATTTTCCCCTGGGTTGTGCAGGAAGGGGACAAGAGGTGCTGCAGCCACTGCAGTGGTGTTTTGTGGCCAAGGGGGGATTTTCACCTGACACCCCAACAGCAAGAAGCTGATATTCAGCACCTTCTTGTGCAGATTTTCTGTGTGGCCCCAGCCTCAGCTTAATCAATGATTCACAGAATGCATTTTTCTTGTTTTTTTTTTCCTTTTTATTAGCTGAGTATGAAAACAGGCAATAATTTTACAGAAAGCAGGACTGGCACAATTGGTACATAGCATCATGCTGCAGCTTTTCAGAAATGAATATAAACTCTTTTTTTTCTTCTTCTTCTTCATTTACCTACCAGAATAAATAAATATGATACACATTTGAGTTCCTCAATAGTGAATTCTAAAGCACAAGGTCTTACACTACAGCTCAATTTTACAGCGATCTGTACAGTGTATTACTTTGATTTCCTTTTTGCAATTTAAAAGCCTTTGTTCCTTTGCAAGATGGGTTTGACATACAAACAAGGGTACACTTTGGAGCTAACTGTACACCTTGGGTCAGAACCTGGGGAAAAAAAAATAAATTGACTGCTTCTTGGCATGAGAAAATAAACAAAAAAGTTATTTTCCGTTGCACAGATACATCTAAGGTTCTGCTTTATGGGATGGCCCCACTCAATGGACAGAGCAGTTAGGGAAGGCTTTGGCCATTCATTGAGCATCAGCTGCACCATTTAATGTGTGTCTTACAGAGGTTTTGAAGAGGACTTCCAGCCTGGAACCCAGACTATTAAAAATATAATTACATTTTTTTGTTAGTATACAGAAAATTGTGTATTCTTTACAAACCAATGGAAAATTGTATATTCTTTACAAACCAATGTGGGGGTTGAGTGCTGTTCCCAGCTGAGCCCCAGTGAAACCGGCACAATAATCCCACTCTGGCAAGCGATGGGGGTCCCAGTTTGTGCACCTCAGCTTTTGCATCCCTTCCCCAGGAGCCTGGGGCAGCCAGGGTCGGTGTGGATGCTGCTGCCTGAGCAGCTGGGAAGCAAAGAGCCCCCACAAAGCCTGTGGGGAGCAGGGGAGGGAACCTGGAACACGGCGGGAGTGTCGCAGCCGCACGCCAGAGCAGGGGATTTCTTTGTTTGTTTGATCTTGCATTGCTGGCATTTTTGGGGGTTGTTGTTTATTACACCAACCTCTTCTTATCCTTCCACTGTGGATTTGGGCTGAGAGCAGACCTACGCAGAGAAACAGCTTTTTTTTGCACTCAAAAGAAAAAAAAAATTAGATGTATTCTGCTGCTCTAGAACAGATCGTAAAAAAGCAGCAAGGGGCGCATGGAGGGCTAAGAAGGGAGGAAAAGAAAAATCAACACAGCTCGTAAAAACCAGCAGGAAAGTTCTGTAATTGACTTTTTTCAAGCTTAATTGAATTATGTTTCAGAGCTACTGTAATTAAACTAATAGAATATGGTGGATTTTAATTTGCATTCCTTTTCTAGAGAGGTTTATTTAATCTTTTATGTATGAACTCTTCAGAAATGTCCTGATGTTGCTCAAAATTGTCATGTCAGTAGAAGTACCGCACATGAAACACAGGGACAGAAATAATTACAGTTCCCACACTTGTGTCCTCCCACTTTGGTTTTTCTTCAGCAAAAATGAGCATCTCTCTGGTTGGCTGCAGTGGCAACACATACCTAGAGCTCATTAAAAATTCTTCACATGGTGAAACAGCTAAATGAGAAAGGAGATGCGGAGGGATCTGCTTGCTGATGGTTATTTTCATATTTGGCAGCATTTTTTGTGTTTCCTACACAGCAAATGATGATATTTCTTGGAGGAAATACAGGGAAGAAAAATATCTCCCTTTATTCACATATTCACCATCAAGGACATTTCCGCCTTTTAAGCTAAAATAATTTTAAAAACCAAAAAAAAAAAGGAAAAAAAGATGTTTCAGCCTCCCAGCATCATTACTGGATACTTTCTCATTTAGCATTTCTCCTGCACTGTTTAAATATTTTCCTTTTTTATTTTTTAATTAACACTTATTAGACTTCTCTTGCATGTAGACGACATTTAACTGCAAACTTTTGCCCTCAATATTGTCACTGATTTTCTCCTGGGACTTGGTCCTGCAAGAACCATGTATAAAACCTTTATAAATTTGCTAAGGAGGGTTTGGAGCTGTAGTTGGTTCCCCAAGGAGAGGCAAAGCAAACAAAGCCATAGGAAGGGCAAAAGATTGGCAGAGGAAATACTCGGATCTATAACCTGTTTCCAAATAGGAACTAGGGAGACTTTTGCCGGATTTTCCACCACTGTTTTTAAAGGATTTGGCAAATTCTCTTCCTGGCCTATGTGCCACGCTGTGCATTTGTCTGGCACTCCTTTCAGACATTAAAAAATCAACTTGAGCGTCTGCCCCACAGAACACAAAATGCCGCTTCCTTTTTTACATTTCACCTCCCCGTGGTGGAGCTGTCCCAGGAATGCCCTGCCCTGGCACCAGGCTGGCACAGCACCCAGCGGGGATGGAAAACTCCTTTTCTCCCCTCTAACAGCTCAGTTGCAGCGTCTCTGTGTTACACTCCAAGCATTTCATGTCTGTGATGGAAGAAGCCACGTTATATCCAATTAAAATGTTTGTTAACAAGTGTCAGATCTCTGTCTGGACGTGAGGAAGGGAACCTCAATCTGTTTTGATTCTGACTGGTATCAGTGTATTCATTTTCCTAAATAGCTGGGGCTGGTGGAAGGAAAGGGGACAAGCAGAGCTCACATCCCAAATCAGGACATTTGCAGAGGTTCTTCCCACCTGGAGAAACATTCTCTTTGAACTTTGCTAAGTTCAAAGAGAAATGATGCAAATCAGTCCTTTCAGCCTTCCCAATACATACACAGGGTTATATTGCTGGGGGAGTTTCTCCCTATGTATTTTCATAATTTTCTTTTGGTCAGAAATAGCCCAAGATCTCAGAGACCTTACAACAATATGCAGGCAAGATTCAGTTTTGACAGATAATTAATTACTATAATTTTGCAAGCTGTGAGCCAAGATTTTTGCATTTTTGCATTTCCAAATCAATTTTGGCTTTTCAGGTCAGCTCACTCCCCTCATGGATGTTTAAGGTTGACTGTGAGAAGGTAAACCCCAAACTTTGCATAAAATACTTTAGGAGCTCATCTGTATTTAAGAAAAATCGATTTTTTCCTCTTTATTTTTAAATTTTATGTATTTCCACCCTGATTCAGAATGGGAGAAATAATCTCCAGGTGGGAATGACTCACATGCCCTGGTCCAGGACCAGCTGCACCTCAGTCGGCTGCTGCTCCTCGCAAAGGCAGATGAGGATGGTGCTGAACCAATACCCCTGGGGACTGATGGAGATCCAGGTGTCTCCTCTCCCAGTTTGCTTCCTGAGCTGTGCTGGCCTCACCCCAATGCTGGTTTTTAATGGGGTGAGAGATGCTCCACTAGTGAAGTTCCTGGTAGCAGCTCCAAGGCTCTGTGAGGAAGGAGATCAGCAGAACACAGGGATGAAAGGGTCACGCTCCAGGGTCAGTTGAGATGTGTGAAGGCTGCAAATGTTAAAATGAATTTTTGCATCGAGGCACAGGGAAGAGTTTCCCCCCTTGGCTCAGTGGGGAAGGTCTTGTCTCCCTCCAGAGGATCATGGCAAATCTAGTGCTGGATCAAGCTTATCTCCTGTGCTCTGTGTCCTTGCCTTGCAGGAGCAGGCCATAAATCCAGGTGTTTTGACCCTCCTGTGGCAGATGCTCTGGTACCATCATGAGCCATGGTCAGGCTGTGTGTGCCCTGGTGGGAGCTGATGCCTCCCTTTCCTGCCCCAAGGGCACAGAAGAGATGCCTGTGCTAGCTGGGATGCTGCAAGAGTGACTGCAAGCCCATGCTCTCTGCCTGACACACCACTGACGTGAGCTGCACTTTATGAGCATCTTAATTAATTAAAAAAAGCTCAAGTGCAGATCTGATCTCACACCCAATTACCTCACTTGTTCACTGGCACCGGGGAACAACATCAGAAGTGGTGCTCATCAAATCTGTGTTTTCCCTGCACTGGTAAAGCAACTCCACAGCCCAGAGTGGTGCAGAGGTCAGCAGGGCACAGAAAAAAATATAGGTAAATAAAGCCTTTTGAGGACAGAGGAGGAAAATTAAAGCTTTGTTTGGGTGTCCCTGGCTTGGGTGACAGACAGCAAAAATTGAAAGCTGGGACTTTCTTTCTGGACAGAGTAAATATGCTTTGGTGGTTTTAATTTACTCAGGCTCCTTTGAAAGCGGCAGCCAAAAATCTGCTTCCTACAAATACATTTGGTTTTGGCAAAGTGGAGAATTCTGCCGGTCACGGCGGCTGATTTGACACAGTCAGGAAAACTAAAGCATGAGAGAAAAGCCCGAAACTGAAGTGTTTGGCACAACAGAAATATTTATGGAAGACACTCCATTTTCCTTGGAAGCTGGGGCAGCTGATGAGCTTCCCCCTCCCAAGGTCTGCTCCTGCTACAACTTTATGAGGGATAAATCATTATTTCCCATCAAACAGCTGGTCTTACATCTCTATTTGTGGGAATTGGATGGTTTTTCAAGAAGAAATAATTTAGCTCAAATCACTCTTTCCCTTGACTTTAAAATAGGTAATTTTACCCCCAGTACGAAGCAAGGTGGGAGTGAGAGGGGCCACACTTGGGTGGCTATGGGTCTACACTTCAGGTTAAATAAATTCTGATTATTTTCAGAGAGACAGCACAGACCTGCCCAGGCTGTCAGTGGCACCCCCAGTTGATGCTCTTGGGATACAAACATACCACCTGCCCCAGAGTCACTCTGGATTTTTTGATCCTAGGCAATGTTAGAGATGAAATCTGAATATCATTCCTCCTTAATGCTCAGAGGAATAGCAGTGAGTCAAAAATGTTTATTTGGATTTGGTTAGGCACAAAAAAAAGGGAAAAAAAAAAGTGATTTAAATTGGCAGAAACATTCCTTTCTCAACAAGGAAAACCATCCAAGGGTGAATGATGGGTCATTCCAATGAAATGAGACTGAAACTGTTCAGTGCATTAATTCTGAAGCTGGTGAATTTTGGTTACTTGCAAACCCTGCATTTTTGGCAAGTTCATCTATCCCCCCTCAGCTCCCAAGAGATATAAAACCCTTGCTTACACCTGCTTTGCCTCCAGCAGTTCAGCATTTTCACTTGTTACATTTTCACTTGATAACACTTTCTGGACTGAGGGCTTGAGAACAGAATTTGGTGATCAGAGATTTTTTCCTGGACACAGCTTGCATTAATCAAGTTTTCTGTCAAAGAACCATAAAGTTCATGGTGTGTGAACACACCAAGAATCCATATGAAATTTTTATTACTATCTATTACCAAAGACCAAAATGCTCTCCAAAAAGAAAACCCTGTAACTTGTAAATAAAGTTTACACTTCTCTGAAGATCAAAGAGGAAACAATATAGATCAAAAATAATCTGCAAATTTGGCCTTCATTTGCTCCCAGCCAGCAGCGTTTGGCCAATATTTTGTCCTCTTTGAGCAAGTGCTATTGAAAAGAAAAAGAAATATGCTTGCCTTATAGGAAGTGCTTAAACAGGAAATTCACCTTCAGATCATTTCCCAGTTGTTAAAAAATTAGCTTTAGCAGAGAAGGGAGAATGTAGGGGTGAAGTGCACGATCATGTCTCTTCCTCATGAACACCTTTAGGACGCTGACCCAAGAAGAGCAACTAGCTACCAGCTGAGGTCGAGGTGATGGCTGTTTTGTAACTCTGATCCTAGCTACTAAAATCGAAAAGGAAAGGGGAATAAAAGCAAAAGAAGTCACAGTTCTGTAACACTGACAGTAACACACAGATGATGGGTGCTGCCAACATTATAAACTATATACAAGATGAAGCAGGACTCTTTCTTCCCCCAAAGAACGTAACAACAGCAACAAAACAAAAGATGAATAAAACACAGTTGGCACCTTATCGAGGGATGAGGAGAGGGGGCTCCTCCTGAACGTTACAGGCTGAACCCATGGCAGTCCAGAGCACAGTTCATCTGTCTAAACACAGATCCTCTCCCCCTTCCTCATTAAATATTTAGCGAAGACCAGGCCAGTAGCAATGTCTGACGCAACCATGGTGCTAACAGGACGTTAATAAACACAAAGTTTTCCCTGCAAGGGAGCACCTCACTCCAGAAGAGGTGGGGGTGCTGGGGATCCGAGGAGTGCCAGGAGTGGTGCCAGCCCCTGGGGCACCTTCTCAGGGCAATCAGTTGGGGAGAGTGTCCAGCCCCAGGGACGCCGCGTGCTGCTTGGCCCGGAGCCTCAGGTTCTCAATGCTGGTGGTTTTACTGTTCAGGCTTGGCAGGGAGCTGGAGGCCTGCAGGATGGGGGAGGACCAGACCTGCTGAGCATGGGACAGCGACTGGTAATAGGACTGACAGTGCAGGGAGCTCAGCGGGGCCATGTTGACGTTCATGCCCAAGTAGGGCATGGCGGACGGTGTCCCCATTTCGAAGGAGGAGTAATGGACCAAGTTGTTGGTGGCTGCCATGTGCTGGCGGAACTGCTCCTGCAGGCGGAAGAGGCTCAGGGGCGAGGAGGAGTAGGAGTGAGTCTGAGCCAGGCCGCTGCTGGATGAAGGCGTCACAGTCGCGCTGAGAGGGGACTCTACGGCAGGAGACAGAGGGGATGGGGGTTATTCCTGCAGGCTGCATAAGATGGTGATTATTCACACCCCAGAAAGGCTTGGGCAGAAGCACGGGCTTGTCTCTTGCAAATGAGAGAGGGTGTGACAGCTCATGAGAGCTCAATGTGTGCCCTTCCTATACCTGGCACCTCAGAGTGTAGAAATGGGGCTGAGCTTTGCTGTTGCTGGGCACTGCTCTCCCCAAGACCTAACTGGAGCAGGTCTTTGCTCTTTCAGTGCAGCATCGATGTGTTCAGCTGACTAGCCACACTCCATGAAGGCACAATCAAATGAGATCCCCCAATACTGTGAGCCCAAGGATTCATCTTCCTATTCACCATTGGAGGATTAACAGGGATTGTCTTAGCAAACTCCTCACTAGACATTGCCCTACACAACGCCTACTACATGGTATCCCACTTCCACTACGTACTGTCAACAGGGGCAGTATTTCCAATCCTAGCAGGCTTTACCCACTGATTCCCACTATTTACTGGGTACACCCTCCACAAAACATAAGCTAAAGCGCACTTTGGTGCGATGTTTGTAGGTATAAATGGACATCCTGCCCTCTCTGGGGCCTGTTCCATGCTGAGGACAACAGGACAAGCCTGGGCAGCCTATCCATGAGCACCCACTCCACAGGGAATATGGGACCATACCCAACCGCCAGCATCCCCCTTGGACAGGGGTCCTGACCACCAGCCTGCCAGGTCCTGACACTGACCCCCACCAAGACGCTGCCCCTCACCTGCTTTTGGGCTGGCTCTCTTGCAGTTCAAAGCCTTGCTGTCCACACCAGGGCTCTTGTCCACTTTGGCCTCATCCAAGGTGCTCTTGAACTCCTCCTCCCTGTCGGTCTGGTCCTCGGGTGCCGACTCGCTGGCAGACTGCTCCGACAGGGTCAGGTTGAGGTCGGTGCCCACCTCGCTGGGGAGGCTCTGGACCTTCTCAGTGTCCGGGGTGGGAGCCTGGGTCTCCAGCACAGGGGGCTCCATCTTTCCCTCGCTGTGGCTCCCCTCACAGTCCTTCTGCTTCTGCAGCTGCTCCTTCTGCAGGCTGCGCTGCTTCTTCCGGAATTTGGCTCGCCGGTTCTTGAACCAGACCTTCCGTGCCATGAACAGCAAGGGAGAAAAACCAGTGAGAGCCCTGCTCAGGGCCAAATTCAGCATCACTCAGCCCCAGAGCTTCAGGGGAACACCAAGCAATGAGGTGCTGCAAGCCACTGCGTCCAAGGCCATTCCACTTTGCTGGACCTTAGAGCTCGACTGTTTTCAGTGAATCTACAAATAACATTTCAAACAGACTAAAAAATATCCAGCCTCTATACTGATTCTTTAACAGCCTCCACTGCTGTTTTTTGGTTTTTTTTTAGTTTTTTTCCCCTAAATTGGTTAGGCACCTCATCCAAAAAGAATATCTTGCAGCTGTAATGTCTGATGACATTACATTGGCTTACAGTTTGTTAAGTTTCTAAAACAATTTGGTTATAAGTGTATTAAAACTATGATGGCAACACTCAAAGTAAGTCATTACAGGCATAAGCTGTTGTCTGGGAACTGCATTTAGGAAAGCAGGAGAGAATTCATTGTTTTTTTAACCTAAATCAGTAGACATGTATTAGAAGAAATATATTAGCAAATCTTGTTTGTTGTTTTCTTGCTTAGATAAGGGGACAAACAATTTTTTAGATCAAAATGCCCTGATGCTTGCATAAATGAACAATTTTTTTTCCATAACTTTTTTTCTTCACAGTTAAAAATATTTTCCTTTTAAAAGAAAAGAACTGCTTCACCAGCAGGTTATGAACCAGCACATTTCACTAATTGAAACTAAAAAGCAAACAAAAACAAAAAGCAAACCCAAACCTTGGCCTGAGATGTTACAAATATTGACACTGGTGGAAAAGAGCAGCTGGAATTACTTGGGTCTCTACTTTTTTGAGAAAGCCAGAAAAGCCTCACAATTAAATATATAAATAGACTTCTGTTGCTGTTTTTAAAATTTCCCCCTAAGAAATGTGAAAGAACAAATGAAAACCAGTGCACACTTCAGACAACCCTAAATTTAAAAAATGTGCGCGTGGATTAGAAGTTTCTTAAGCAGATGTGTGACTTTGGATAATTTTACCCTCCCTGCCCCTGCCTTTGACAACTTTACTGCCCCAAAATCTTCTTGCACTGCAAGAATCCTGGAAGGTCGAGGGAGCTGTCAGCCCTCTGGGAGCCCGGCTGTGTTCTTGTAAACATCCCCACTGGCAAACCCCCAGCGTATCAGTACCTGGACCCTGGCCTCAGGCAGGTTTGTGCACATGGCCAGCCGCTCTCTCATCACCACATCTGGGTAGTGGGTCTTCTGGAAGGTCTTCTCCAGGGCCTCCAGCTGCTGGGCGGTGAAGGCCGTGCGGCTCCGCCTCTGTTTGCGGTGCTGGGATCCATAACGTGCCTCCAAAATGATGTCTTGAAATGTACAGCCGTTGGAAGACAAGGAAAGTGGCCAATTTAATTATTGGAATTTGTACGCTGACAGTCGAATAAAGCACTTGCTAACATCAGACAGAGCTATGGAATGTTTTTTCCATTGCTTTGGAGCTAGTGAAACACAGACATATGAATCTTACTGGTTAGCTGAGGTGTCCAAAGAGGTAAAATCATAGCAGAGGGGTTAAAGCTAGATGACCTTTGAGATCACTTCCAGCCCAAACCATCAAATGATTCTGAAAGCCTGTTCTGGAGAGAGAGCCTCTTTCTGTGACAGCTGTGAAAGCTCTTGAGACTCCAGTGCTGAATTTGGCTGAAATAACTCAATCTGCTTCTACATCAGCAGGGCAGAACATGCAGATGCCCAGACCCTACCAGGGCATAAGCACCTTCCATTAAGAAACACAATTAAAAATGAATGTGGGGACATTCATTCTTGTACTTTTTTAATGTCTTTGTATGGCTCACTGCAGTCTTCAAGGCATGATATTGGAGAGCTGTTCTGGGCTCCAGTTCAGAGAGCATTTAATCTCATGTGCTTTGGTGCATTTTGCTCCAAAGCACATCCTTCACTGAGCACGGACACTCTCCAGCATCTGGGGTGGAAACAGCAGCCAAGGCCACGTCCAGCCCTACTGGTTGCAAGCCCAGAGCTCATGTGCTGAGCTCTTCTCAGCAGAGCACCTACTCACAAGATCTGACTTTGCAAACCAAGCTTGGAAAATTGAGGGCAGAGAAGAAATTCAGACTGGGGGGAAATCTGAGGCCAACAGTAAAGGGCTTATTATTTTACCAGAGGGGTTATTATTGCACAACAGTTAGTGGGAGTAGAAAGATCTTAAATCAATGAAAATAAGTTACTTGAAAATGAAAAAAACCCACCCTTTATTATGCAAGTTGGGACATGCTGTGCTACAGCCCTGGAATGAAACCGTCTGGCAAGAGGTTTGCTCTCATAGAGGAAATGCAGAAAGAGCAGTGTCTGGTATCATTTTTAATTCGGTTAAGAATGTAACTTCCAGTAGAAGGGAGGAATGAACACACAGGAAAACAGCAGAGCAGGGAGCAAAGCTGGCACTTTGGGAGCAAAGCAAAGCCCAGTGAAGGCTCTGGCTGCTGTTTGTTTGTGCTTTTGTCACGAGCGTCGTGACACGAATCCAAACAGCAAACAAAAACCTGCTGTCCCCCAGCACCACACAGCCAGGCCCCAGACCCACTGGCTAACGAGCGTAGCAAATCAGCTTTGCACTGCTCAAACATTCCTCTTCCAGAACTTCCAGCTGTTCCATTCTAGGTCAGCACTCGCAGCGCCCTTCTGGGGCACTGCCAGAGCTGCGTGGTTTTGGCAGCCTGGCAGAGATGTGAGCAGGCTAAAGGTCTTCAGCAATATAGTGCTGGTTGCATACAAGAGAATTTTGTGTTTGAGGAATCAGAGCTCCTTGGGGAGTTCAAATGTTGGTGATAAAGCTGCCCCTGGGGAGGCAGTGGGACCATCCTTGTGCATCCAGGCACAGCTCACGGAGCAGCCAGGCGAGGAGAAGGGATATTCCAGCACAAGAAATGAAACTGAAGCTGCCCTGAAACGTTTATAAAAGCCAACATTTGTGTTTCAAGTACACAAAAACAGGAGAAAGGGCACTGGTTAAACACCCTACCTAAACACCCTACCTGCAGGCTGGAATATTCCCGAATTTCTAGAGTAGAGGTTACACCTACCAGCTCCCCAGAGGCGGCAGCTCATGTATTAAGTTTGGCCACTCCAGCGAGAGGCAACCAGCAATTATTTTACTGTTTTAACTATGTTTTCAGGCTTTGTGCAAGAAGGAGAATATAAATTGCAGGTGAGGCTTTGCAGTTACCACCAGAAACCTCTGTTTTCTGACTTAAGGTCATTTGCTTTTGTGCTGCTTTATTCTGACTGTCCCTGGAAGGCAAATGAGATCTATAACCTGCACTGAAAGATATTCAGAAGTAACAGAATGTGAGGCAACTGCAAAGGAAACAGCTCGTAGGTATATAATGCCTACACTGCCAATGATAAGCAGACAAGGGGACTGTGGGATTTAATCTGGAAAGTCTTCCAGGTGGGTTATTAATTTTAAAGATAAGAGGTCAGGAAACCAATTTAATCTTCTGGTCAAGAATATGAGAATAGGTTTTTTTAATTCTTTTTTTTATCTTCATCTGCTTTAGCCTAGTTAGGGCCAAAAACATTAAGTCCTCCGTGCTCTACTGTAAAAGATAGAGATCACAAATATCTTTCAAGAGGTCCTTGCAGTTAGGAAAGGGGCACCTTGAGATGCAGGGTCTGCAAGGTGCATTGCAGAGCTCAGGGCCATCTGCTCCCATCTAAAACCTGCACAGTGAAAAGGGGCAGGGAACAAGGGGATGGATGACCAGGACAAGGACAGTGCTCTTCCCATCACTCTGCAGCCCAGCAGCACATCCAGGAGAAGAGTCCAGCTCTCTTTGATTCCACTTTGGTTTTTTATTGATGAGGACAGTGACTCCTGCTCTGCCCTGTGCCACCCCAAAGATCCCACAGGCCACTTAGAACCATGCTAAGAAGGTCGCAAATAGCAGCTGGGTAACGGAACATTGCTGGCTTGTGGCTCACTGATCCAAAGAGTCCAAGACCTTTCTCATCATGCCTTTGTGGACTGCCTACCTGGGAGGACCTTCCTGAAACTTCTGCATCCTTATTTTGGTTTAAGCCGTTATTTATGAAATTTAGCCCACCAAGGCTGTCTGGACAGGTAATTTCTCCCACCAACTCTAGACTGGAAGGAACTCCTCAATTATTTTTTTTTAGACTTTAATATCAGACAACTAGAAAGCTATCCTAGAACAGATATATATTTGTAGGCAGTCAGGGAAGATAATTCCATTCTTCATGATTATGTTCACTCTGCCCTTATTTACTAACAACAAAGGGAAATTCTTTGCTGTTTTCTGTTCACTTGTTAAAAAGACATTCCAGTGTCTTTTTAATTTTCTCTTTTCAATCCCATATAGTGGAGCCACATCCCGTCTCCCCTGAGCTTCCCAGCTGTCTGAGACCGGTCTGAATCAAGGTGCCAGCACACACTGGAGGGCAGGTGTCACCTGAGAGCCTGGCCACAGGGACAGCACTGAGGAGCATGCCATGCCCCTTGGCTCTCTCACACTCCAGAAGAGCTCCACTCAACGCAAGCAACAAGGATTCTTTTTTTGCGCTGGGATTTTTGGTTTCTTTGTGCGTGCGGCTTTTTTCGTTGTTGTTTTTTGGGGGGTTTTTGTTTGGTTTTTTTTTTTTGGGCGTGGGGTTTTTAGAGCCAGGCGAGGGCACTTGCCACGGGTTGTTCTTACCAGCCAGTCTCTCAGCCAGGGTGAGGGCGTGCACGGAGGGCCGGTAGTCGGGGGCGTGCTGGGCCTGCTGTGCTGCCTGCTGGTGCAGGTTGTACATGGCGCTCAGCGAGTTCATGGCGTGCAGCGAGTACCCGTTCACTCCATAGTGCTGCATCCTGACATCAACCTGGAAAACAACACCCAGGGAGACTTAGGGACCAGCTGATCCAGCTGCCTGGTGGCTCAGCAGAGCTCTGGAAATGCTGAGCTCAGAACTGAAGTGCTGCATGCAAGGCTTGTGGCTGACATCTCAGCTCCAGCAGGTTCTGGGACAGGAATGGAAACATCTCCTGTACACCTGAAGCACCATCAACACAAGTCCAGCTTCCAAACATAAAGCCCAGAATCTGCTGTGCTGCCTGCTGGTGCAGATTGTACATGGCACTCAGCGAGTTCACGGCGTGCAGCAAGTACCCGTTCACTCCATAGTGCTGCATCTGATATGAACCTGAAAAACAACACCCAGGGGCTTAGGGACATGCTGCTCCAGCTGCCTGGTGGCTCAGAAGAGCTTTGGAAACGCTGAGCTCAGAATTGAAGTGCGGCATGCAAAGCTCGTGTTTAACCTTGCAGCTCCAGCAGATTCTGAGACAGGAATGGAAACATCTCCTGTACACCTGAAGCACCATCAACACAAGTCCAGCTTCCAAACTTAAAGCCCAGAATCTGACTATATCTCACTCATGCTGATCAAAATATGGGAAATTAATTTTTTTGCATACCACAATACAGATTATCATATTTCAGTGACTTTTAATGCATTGTCCTAGTGCTATCCCAGGGCTAGCTGGGATTTTGCCCCTATCACTGCCTACAGTGGACTATTTGTAATCCATTACAAATAGTAATAGATTACAAATAGTCCACTGGAATGTCAAATAATGTTTCTCATCTGAACTCGCTCATTTATAATTTGTTTCCATTCATTATTCATTTTTCTAACAGGTCTTCTTAAGAAAACACAAATGGCATGGTGGGGGGGGGGTGAGAAAAGAGCATGTGGTGAAAAAGAAGATAAATCTGCACCATAATAGCACCAAAAATGTTATGGCTAAAGAGGGAATAAGTTTTGCAATAAATACTGACATTTCACAGCTCAATAGCAAGGAAATTATTTCAGAAAACTAATGGCTTTTTTTTTTTTCTAGTGTGGGCTCTGCGTGAAACTTCAAGCTCTTTTTCCTTACAGACCATCTGTAAAACTGAGCTAATATTGATCTCAAAAGCCAAGCAATGCTTCATTCATCCCTGTTGTAAATGACTGAGGGCCTCCAGGATGTCGTTTCTGCAGTTTGTAAGACATCAGAAAGGAAGTTGTGAAACATTAGCCACAAAATAAATTTTTTAAACCACTGTTTACATCAGCAAGTCACCATCTGGAAAGTCAGTGCAATGAACAAACGCTCAGGGAAAGAGGGTCAGCCGGACTAACTTAAGGAAAGCAGACATCTTTTCAGACAGCCTCTTAGAAAGCAATTTAAACACTGGAGGGAGGTGATGGTTTCAGGAGAAATGCCCACGGTTTTAGGAGGAATGTGAAAATTTGGAAGAGCAATTATCTGCTGTATTTTCTGTACTACACAAAGACCTTTGTAATTGTCCGTAAATTATTTATACCATGGAGGGACAGACTCACGGTGATGAGGCAGAGATGGAAATGAGTTGGTGCCACTGCCCCTCCTGCTCTGAACTCCTGCTCTTTCCACCTTGATGTACGAAGTACAAACATGAAGTGACTTTGTGTAACAGCCAGAAACCAAGCAGGAGTTCCTTAAAAAGCGGCTGAATTTAGCACACCAGGGTCTGGGGCATCTCATGGCTTCACACTCACAAGCATCTCTGCACTGTGGTGCCCAGGAACAGGGGAGGGAAACAAGCAGCTGAGTTTGGTGAAACACTCTGCCAGCCCAAGGATGACCCTCATGAATGTGAGTTCTGGTTCTGGGATTGTCTTCTCAAAGATGCAGCAGAAATTACAAACCCGTAATTTTGGAATTTAGTACTCTGCTTCACTCCTGTTTCCCCAAGCCCCTTGTGCTCTGCCACTGCATCATTTCAGCACTGAGTGCCAGTGGAGGGCGACAGGTCCGGGTGTGGTGACACCACAAAGATCTGACACACACCCTGATGCCAGCTTCATCTGCTTTGTGTCTGCCTGTTCACCCACTCTGCGCTGATTCCCCATTCTTCTAAGATAAAATGTGAAAATGAACATTTTCCAAAGCTCACAAGGATGCCACAGCTCTGCTCTAATGGAGCTTAGGGAAGATTTAAGCAATGACAAAATTGTTTGCTGGTTCTCTGATCAAGGGGATGGACTTTGCACATCAAGAGAGTTTTGGCATTCTTATCTCTTTTCCTCACGATGTGTTTCACAGTGAAATTACAGCTGTGATATCGCTTTCTGGGACTGCAAAGTTTTGCTGGTGGTGGCATGTGTTAAGGGACATGTCCCAGTGACATGGCCATAGAGGACATCTCCCATCTGACCTGTGGTGCAGCCTCACCCATCCTTGGTGTGGATCATTTGCCAAGAGCATCATGCCACCCAATGCAGTTGTTCACTGCCTCGCTGTCACAGACAAGGGCAGGACTGGCTTTTCTGGCCAACACAGGCAGCAAAACAGAGATTTGCAACTCCATTCTGCCTCCTCCCCTCTCACCACCTCACTTGTGAACCAGCTGGCTGGCTGCACCAGCTTTGGCCAGTGGGGTGGAGGTCTCAAAGCTTGTTAAGTCCCTGAGTGTCTCGCGAAAACCATCTGAGGACACAGAGCCTATTAACTGCCCTGGGCTGCTGCCAGACCTCTGTTCCTGACAGAGGCTGGAGAATCCACACCGGGCTCAGCCTTGCCAGGAGATACGTGGGAGGCCAAGTGTCTTTGACTCCCAGCTCACAGAAATGCCTGTTTCTCTCTTCTAATCCCCCTTGCATGTCATGGGCTGTGCAGCAAGCTGGCACATTAAAGGAAAAAGGAAGAGGGAGAGGAGGGGAATTTTCCCATACCATACAGTCTTCCAAGGACACTGCCAGTGGTGTTGTGTCTGCAGCCCAGTGTTTCCACTGAAACACTTGCTCCAGGAATATTTTGGTGGTTTTGATTGTTAAAAGATGATTTTATGTATACATTTTTCCAGTGGCTTGGAAGAAAGTGTATTGAAAAAAGAAAAAAGAAAAAAGAAAAAAGAAAAAAGAAAAAAGAAAAAAGAAAAAAGAAAAAAGAAAAAAGAAAAAAGAAAAAAGAAAAAAGGAAAAAGGAAAAAGGAAAAAGGAAAAAGAAAAGAAGGACCTCACTGGGGTGGACTCAGGATGGGAGTCAATGCCCATCACAGCTTTGGTGATGCAGTGCAGACAACAGGCAGAACTTCTACTCAGTTGTGCAGCAAATGTATCATCCCAGATTCTGTATAAAAAATGAGGGAATTTACTGAGCGAGACGGTTCAGCCGGGTAAGCAAAGTTAACTGAGACCACAAATAGCTCCTGTTTAACTGTCAGCTCCCAGCTCACTCCAACCCCAATAAATTAAATATTTAAAAGACATCATGCAGCAATTTTTTTTAATGGAGAAAGCCATTCATCAAGCCACTGCTGTGTTTCACAAGCTGTCGAATAGTGCTTACACTGGTTAAAATAATCTTTATATTTCATTAAGCAACCAAATAAGCTGATCCCTTCCCACTGGCTGTATAGATGGTTTTAATTTTCAAAATCTGCAAATGCATCTTTTATGTCTCTGCGTGGCTGGAGGGCCTCAGGAACAGCCACAGCCAGGAGCTGGATGAGAGCAAAGTTTGAACTCCTGCTTTCTTGAAGGGTATGGGCTTGAGCAGCTGTGGATAAGCTGGGAGGGTGACAGGGTCCATCCTGAAAGAAAGGGGATTCCTCATCATGATTTTGTGCATCAGAGATCAACGAAGAGTTAGGAGCAGTGAAGAAAGGAGATGGAAGCTGAGGAAAGGTGCAGGAAAACAGTAAGTGAGAGAAAAAAGCCCTGGTGGGGGCCTGTGGGCTGATGCTGCAGTGTTTGCTCAGCACAGTGCATAAAGGATGCTGCAGGCAGTGCCTGGGCTGGTGGCGTCTCCTTCCACGGCCCCTCAGGGCAGCAGCAGAGACTCTCCTACCCCCCAGCATCCCAATCCAGCCCTCTCCCAGCTCCCCACATTGCTCAGCACCGGCTGTGAGCTCTCCTCACATGCCCTGCACCAGACCCTGCCGGGGCTCCCCCTCCTCCTGTCTGTACAATCCTGGCATTGCTACCCTAGGGTCAAAAGCCCTCCTATGGCTTGCACCTCTCATTTATTGCTATGGAAATAGCAATAAATAAAATAGCTCTCAGTTCTTGCTATGGAAGGCTCATGGATGCTGTGCCTACCTTCCTTCCCAAGCCTGCAGACTTCTCAGAGCTCAGGAGCCGCATCCTGCCAGCACCCAGCCTCACAGACAGCACGTGGGATTTCCCCCAGCTGTAACTGCTGCTGTCTATGAGAAACCCAGCTTTCTCCATTCCTGCATTGCTCTGAGGCCAGGCAATGCAGGATTCTGCCCTTCCCAGCCTAATCCAGGGACCCACCACTCTGTAATCAGCTGCTGCTGTTCAATCTGATGCAAAACAACCTGCACATTTACCATCCAGAAAGAGCAGCCCTGTTATCCCAGGGCAGAGCTCCAGCCAGCGTGGCTCCCATCCATCCTTCCCAGCACCGGTCTTCAAAACCTCATGTGCCCCTGAAGCCATGCAGCACAAAAGAGCTGCAATTTATGGTGCACCATGTAACAGCATGGCATACAGGGGAGATCTGACTCTGGGTTTTAATATTCTCGGCTTTCTACAAGGCTTTAAGTTTCCCTATTTAGCTGGCAACTAATTTTGTATAATTCTGCATGTAATTCTGTCCTGAGAGAAGATGTGAAGAGAGACCCATGCATTTCCTCCTTAGCTGAAAACCCCCTTCCTAGTGGCTTCTGTATATGTGGAATTCAGACAGATCTGAGAACAATTTAAAAAATGAGGTATTGAAGTTTTCTGAAAAGTACCTGGCAAAAAAAAATTCCATATTTTCCCTTCTATCAGGAAAAAAACCAAGCCAACAAATCACCAAACCAAAATAACAAACAAGACAT